GTGCGTGTGTGTGTATGTGTGTGTGTGTGAAAGAGACTGAGTAAATCAGTGAAAATTAGTATGTATTACTTGTTATTACCCCAACATTTTAAAATATATGCTTTTAGAGCTAAATACTATTTAATCCTCTCCCTCACACACAAATACACATGCACGAGCAAACACATATACACATATACACATATACACATAAACATTTCTCAAATGTGTAGGTAAATCGCATATTATTATCTAAAATCTCTCGATTTATTATAAAAATTGATTTGGAACATTACAAAAATAATATTAAAATACAACATTTCAAACGGTTGTAGCAAAAAGATTAATCATTTTTAAGTTTTGTGCCTAAGGAAACTTTTGATCAATAAGTCAAAAACTATGACATATCAAAATTTCAGCCAATTTCATAGAGGGCCAAAAACCCGTGGTTTTTTGCGAAGTCCTTTCATATCCTCGTAATATAATAGTACTCCCCGATCGTACGTCTTTAAAGTCAACATTGAAAAATTTGTTATTAATTAGATCCAGAATGCTAATGGCTTAAAACATTTCCTCAAGGATTCCCGATAATTTCTCGCGACAACTTAATTTCCGAAAGTGCTCTAACTTCGTTTACTTTTATCTAGCGTGTGATGCTTTATAGCGATAGACGCAACTTCAACGTGTGGATGATAATAATTTATTGCTATTATGTCCTATAAAATAATATATATTGTCTATGACACCAAAAATTCGAGAAACTATAGCATATATACATGATATATCTATAGAATAATTGCACTATTTAGTAATTTGATCAAATGACGAAAGCGGGATGGCATTAAATTTTTCCCAATCACATATCCTGCCGGAATGTGCGGAGGTTTATGTACAGAATATATACGTTTTTTACGTTTGATTGATTTATATGGATAAACGGCTCGCAATAAACTTACGACAAGCAATACGTGCGATTCTCGCGCAGTTAGATTGTAAAGAGAGAGAAAGAGTGAGAGTAAGCGAGCGAGCGAGCGAGAGAGAAAGAGAGAGAAAGCGAAAGAGAGGAAGAGAGAACGAAAGGAAAAGAAATAGATAGATGAACGATTTTTTTTATCTTTGTTTCATCAGAATATGTAGAGAGTAAGATGTTTTAGTTTTAATTTTTGGGAAATCCTAGAGAGTACTTAGCGCGTTGATTCGAGGCCGTTTGTGATATACGACTGTATTATTTTAAAACATCGGTTCTACAGATGGTACAGGCGGATAAAGACGCCTCTATCGTGAGTAATGCTCAAAGTTCCGGCAATCCAGAGGCTGAGTATATGCGTAAGCCGGAAGTTGTACATACAAATCTTCATTTTTAAACTAATTAATCTTTTGTTATATATGTACATTCATATCACACGCAGATCCGAAAGAACCAGGGAGGATAGGAATTCTATCTTTTCTCGGGACGAGAATTACAATACATGTAATTCCTTTGCTATTTTTTACTATTATAATATGAAGTATTCAATTCGTGTTTCTTTTTTTCCAATTCAATGTTTAAAAATTCAGAGAAGATACTCGATTGTTGCGTGTACTCTTTTTTTTTATTCTTACATTTAAGGATATTCTCGAATCCGATTTTCTCAAAAGTACACTGTTGTTTAGTATAAACAAATAAAAAAAGAAGTTTATTATAAAGAAGATCGCAGATTGCATTTCTCTCGATACCTTTTACTATACCGTTGCGTGCAACATTTATATTCGCGATAAGGAAACAATAACATGGGAAAATAATGATACAAAGGAACGTAATAAAAATAGGGAATATAAAAAATTCTCGTCAGTCGAATATGTTTAATATATTGTGCGCCGATGATACGCATCGCGAAATTACAAACTGATAAGCTGTTGCTGTACAAAAACATCTAGCAATTTTGCCACACAAGTTTCAGTTATGAACAATAAATCATTGTTCGAAATAATTGTCGATCAATTGTAATTACCTCTTTTAATTTTCTCTCTTTAACCCTCATCCTTTTAAATCAACATTATCGCGCATAAAAAGAGAGACACGGAAGAAAGCATTGCGCATTATTTTATGTAGAATTCTTTATTTTATACATTTGCATTCTTGGTCACCAGGAAATTCGCTGGGCATAGGGTTGATCCTTCCAGTAAAACACTTTGTTGGCAAAAATAAAAAATTGCAGACAATTTATCACGAGAGTCGTGAGCGACTCGAGACCGATCTGCCATCTTTCTGGCCTTTTCATATTCAAACGGTAAAAAATGTACGGCAGAATGAAGTAACGCGGTTCTACCAGTAACTGAGGTATCAGCATCATGCATACGCAAATAAGATAATTAATTTGTGTGAGGAATCTTAAATGAGCCATGTTCTGCGATATGGCGAACAGGCTCGCGCCGTAAATCGGTATCAATAGGTACCTGAACATTGCGTATCGACCCATAAATCGATTCCACACGTAGAACCAATAATGTCGGTTATCGGCTAAAACATACGGATGAACGAGCGTGTTGAAACGTATCGTCATGGCCATCAATGCGATGGCGCAGCCGACGAAAATCCAATACCGCCGAAGGAATCGCAAATACGTTCGCCAATAAGGTATCACGTACGGCCACGAGAACAGAGAAACGAAAGCGGAGTAATAAAATATCTGACAAAGGTGAACAGTTGCGACATGGGCAGTACGATCGCCGATCACTATGCCACCGTTCCACACGACGAAGGCAACGAACATAAGACACACTGTTATATAGGGAAGTAGACTACTGCATACCTGCACGACGAACTTGAGGAAGGACAACGGACCTATGCGCAATTCGTACATTATCTGCTTCCAAATTAACTAAAAGTGATTTAAGAAATTTGCAATTAATTTCCCTAATGTACTCCCTCTTTGAGGTCTGTATTTTGTAACTTGTTACTTACACGAAAGTGCAATGAAGTATTGAGCACTCCAGATGGAATGGGTTGCTCCAGCCTGAGATCAAATATGTCTAATATGCGTTCTATAGTAAAGAAACCGAGCCAAATAATGTTCGTCTGGCGAACGAGTACGGCTAATAAACCTATATATGCGATTATATATTTATTTGATTTTTTTCATTAAAACTTATTATAACAAAATAATTACCTGCAAGAGCTGTCATTTTCGTATATTTGCATTGATGTAGATACAACATCAAAAGTACTATGTTCATGGATACAACATCCGTGTAATAAAAGAAGCACCAAAAATACAATGGTGGGAAAAAAGTAAGATTGTATGCTGCTATAAGTATCAACCAATTATTCCACCGATTCATCTCATTGGACTTATAATTCTCCTTTATAATATTATAAAGAAGATAAAGATTTATACATGTCCCAAGTAAATTTATACATCTTACAAATGTGATATTACAAAGATTAAATGGTGATAATATCACAGTAGTAATAAAATACAAGCCTGGCAATGTAGTAATTTTAGGATCCCACTGAAAATAATTTACGACATATTTTTGCATAAGAATTATGTATGCAACGCAATTAAAAACTTGTATCTCGCATATATCTAAATAGTTGCCAAATATATTTACCTCTGTAAAATTCCCTGCACAGTATCGTAACGTTTGAGGTATGTGGAAAGCCTCATCAATGAAATAATCTGGTTGAATACGATTCAAATACAGGAAAAGCAGGACTGTGCTTGTAAGGAACACAATTAATGTGAAATACATAAATATTTGATAGTTCGGTTTCACGTGCAATCGACATACGAGATTCATGGCTGTTTTACAAAGTATTCAAATACTCGTAAATTATTAAATTTTGACAGAAATAAAATTGTGCGCGTAAAATTAATTCTAGATCAAACGTCATCATATTTTGACGTTAACCTAACCTCTTCCATTACATTACGCTTCCAAACTTCTTATCGAGCTGTGCAAAAATGTGTCGCTGTTACATCGTACATTTAACAGCAGGACAAGTGATCTTTCGATAAAATACGTCGCGGTTGCAATCAAATATTATTTTGGAAGCCGGCACGCTGCAATCCGTGCAGCATATGCTTGTGTTTATAATTTACTTTATTTGGAAGAAGCTAAAGTTTATTTGCACTTTTTGCACTCCGCTTTCACGATCTTCTCTTTCTAACGTCCGTGTATGTACACATCTGTCTCATTTCGGGTACAGAAAATGTTAGATCAGTTTGAGAAATTCGACGCTTGACAGTTGGCACGTCTGCGAAGAAGATCGTCACGTGACAGTGAGTGAGTGAGTCATGCGCGCATGTCCGGCGTAAACTTCAAATCGTTCCTATCTCAACTGCGTTCACGCCAATAGATTCGCGCAATCTCAACGCACAATAATAATTTTTAGTCAAATCGAGACGAATTGTGGACATCGAATCGTCATGAACGAATAAACAAACAATAGATATCAGTATGAATGAATGGATTCACTTACCGCCCGCTGCTCGCGATGCTGCTGGCTGCTTCGTTGGTTTCAATTTCGATTCAATGCGAGATTCTTCGCTCCATCTTAACTTTGGTGCGAACTTCACTCAACACTTTATTCGACACTCACCCACGTGACATTCTCATACTCGACGATAAAACAAACGCAAGCACAACACAATACACTCCGCCCTGTCCTGACTGGCCGATAGACGCAAAGCGAAATAAAACAAATATGGCGGCCGCGCACGCGCGAGTTCGAATCAAGGTTGCAAAATGTTGAACGCGATCGCGACCGAAAATCGGATTAAATGTGGGCATTTCAATACTATCGCATGATTCGATTAATATATTATACTACTCGATATTCTTCTGGCATTTTAAATGTTCATCTGCACATGTCCACTTTTACCAGTTAAAAAACGCAAATAACACGGAGCGATTGTATTCCGTCCGATTGCAGATCTAAATGGCGCGAAAAATAAAATAAAATGACGACTGCGTCAACGCGCGTCGGTGTGTACATTTAAGACAATTGTGTAGACATAAGTATTATCATGCTATCAATTGCTATCACCTCGATTAATATATCTGCTATGATAATTATGCGATTCTTTTTTCTGATGATTCCGACACTCGCTCTTGATGATGGAAGAAATGAGAAAAACGCAGTGCGTCTCGACGTGACGCAACATGTCGCCGCGTATGCGCGTATTTGAATTAAATTCGGCGAAATGATCAACACTATTGCATCGAGCATCAAACTCTTCAACTGATGTTTTAATTCTTAGAATTAAAAAATAATAAAGGATATCTCGATAAAAAATTGTTTATATAAGAATATAAATAAATAAATGAATAAATATATATGATAATAATAAATATATATGATGAATAAATATATATGAATAAATAAATATATATGAAATGAAAAAATTGACTATGTAGTTATATATGTGTATTTTTAATTATAAATATATATGATTATATGTGCGCAATTTTTTTCATATCTTCAAACTTAACTTTTTAATAAAAGAAACAATGTAAAAATTATCCTTTTAATTATTTTCTGTTTTCTCATTATTACTATTATTTTTCTTATATCAAAAAAAGAATTTGACAGAAGAAGGAAACATAGATATATTTCATATATAATTATATATATTTATATATGTCTTATCAAAATTTTCTACCGTTTTATGTGAAAAATAACAAAAAAATCTTCATGTAAAGGAATCGTGTGACAAAATCAAGTGATTTGTTTATTAATCATTTTGTTATTTTTTTCCATATAATAATTCTTTTACATATCACGCGAAGACACAATGATATAGCAATGGTATCGTTTTTTATTGTGCCAAAAGACAAGGACAGAGTTGTAAAAAGAAAAGGTGTTTCAACCCTTAAGTACGGATTACTTTTATGGAGTACTTTTTGTTACTTGATAGTAATTGAACACACAGTTTCTTGAATACTATATTTTATGTTTTTCTTCTAGTGTTACTTGCCGAACTTTTCTTTCGCGTGAAAAAGAAAGAAATATTAAATGCAAGAACTTTCATATCTGTTTCCTCTATCGAAAACTTGTGGAGATATAAAATGATCAATATTGCTTCATACTTAAGGGTTAAGTCCCAGTTGATTGTTGTTGCTGGCATCGAACTTATTTAAGTCTGCTTTTTTCACTGGTCGAATAAGTGTAAAAGCTACTCCTTCGAGATACGATGATAATAATCTATGGCACAAACTGCGCGACGGTATTTCCTATATATATATTGTCAGGGAATAATATGCGCGAGCAGAATTATCGCGTACATAATTACCGCTTCTATTGTATAAAAAAATAATAATGAAAACTTTGAGATATCTTCGTCATGTTATATAGATAATAATGAAATCAATTTCGCAGATCGTCAAATATATTTTGCTTCTCGTGAATTTTTTCCAGGCTCCGCAATCTTAAATGCACTTTAAGGAGAAATATATAGATAACACGCAAAGAAAAATCGGACTGCGGATTCAAATATAATGTAACGTGCACGTACATTTTGCAGTACCGCGTAAGCGTAATTCTTGTTAAACGCGAAAATGGAAGACAAATGTGTGTGTGTATGTGTGTGTGTGTGTGTGTGTGTGTGTGTGTGTGTGTGTGTGTGTGTGTGTGTGTGTGTGTGTGTGTGTACATTATACGCTTAAATATTTATAAGCAAAATCACTTAGGAGCCTATGATTATTAGACTTATGTAATTTATGTTGAAATTCTAAACAGAATCGTAAAATTCGTAAGAACTTGGGATTGGAACTCCAAACTTATGAACTTTATAAATAGCTTTTATAGTTAGCAATAAGATTTACACAAAATTGTAGATATTTATCAATATAGAATTGTAGTCTCTATGAAATTTACAAAATTCTTATAAATTTTATGAGAACAAGTTACGAGTTTTACGATTCTCTATCTAGAATCGTAGCATTAGTTTCAAGCATATCTTATATTCCAAAGTCGTCTGAAGAACGCTCATCGCTCGCACCGCGAGCTACGCATTGATAACTGACATTTCACTGTCTTACCATTATGTCTATTTATATTTTGTATCGCGGATGTCAATTAAGTGGTTACCAAGATAATCTTTCTTCTTTTTATAGTACTTGTACGAATAAGTGGAAGAAGAGATTTGTGCATTCACAATCGCGTATGTTTGTCGCAAATATGGCATTACAATAGTGATACAGTTGTTTGTTCCCTTCGTTCGTAGTCTGATTCGCGTGGAAGATAACTAATACTAAACCAATTATTTGACTAAGATAAAAACGGAACACTTACTGAGTACGCAAGAACACTTTGTCAACATCGCAAATCGCGATCATTGACTGTTGCCATACTGTACGATTGAAATTATAGACACTCGATCAACGGTGCTGTATATTTTTTCGTAATTCTAGGATAACTTATAAAACTGTGAAAATTAAAAATCTCAGACATGACACAACTGTAACAAATAATATCATGTTGTCGTCCATAAATTTATTCCTCTTTCTCTTAATCCTAATCCTTAAATTTAATTTATTTAATCGTATTATATTCTTAAATTCTCGGACTCTTGGGAGTTCAAGAAGTTATGGCAACATTTCAACGATAAGCCGCGCAACGATAAGTGCCGATATGTTCGCCGTGGGTAATTGATTCTCCGATCGCGAAGCGATTATGTAATCGTCAGTTGAAGAGACGCGATTTAGCGATCGGCGAATATGGCTTATATCGACGTAGTTGCGTGACAATCGGCTCCGTTCTGCGTCTGCTGTGTGCTGTGCGGCAATGCCGCGAGTTCATTTCTACTGAGATACTGAACGATTCCCGCGCCGAGCGAATCACCAATGACGTTTATGGTCGTTCTACATCGATCTCTGCAAACGTACAAGCGCATATTAAAAATGCTCTTCAAAGTCTCTATCGTAAAAAATAAACAGACTTACAGTAACCAGTCGACTGCGATGATTAAGAAGACATCATTGGCCGGAAGTCTCACCGTGTCCAACACCATCACCATGGTCACTAGGCCGGCCTGCGGAATTCCAGCTGCGCCGATACTGGCAGCGGTCGCCGTGATACTGGAAGCATTAGACGCAACAAATAGATCGGATAGAAATAATCTTCCTTCGCGAGACGAAGAAAACTATTTAAATGAGTAGAATGACTCACCTTATCGCTATCAGCTGTCCGAAGGAAAGGGAAATCTTACGCACTTGCGAGATGAAAATGGCAGCAACAGCTTCGTACAGAGCGGTACCGTCCATATTTACGGTTGCGCCTATTGGCATGACGAATCTAGTGACACGTGGATCAATGCCGTTTTTATTCTCGAGACAACTGATAGCCAGCGGCAATGTCGCCGAGCTCGAGGACGTGCCGAAGGCAGTGACGAGCGCCTCTGCCATGTTCGATATGTAGATATAAGGATTCTTCTTCGTGAGAAGGAAGTACATCCCGGGTAGCACCAGGAACCCATGTATGAGTAGAGCGATCAACACGGTCAGGAAGTACATCCCAAGCTGGCTAACTACCTCTTCGAGCGACTTCATCTCCGTAATCTTAGAGGCGACCAGGGAGAGCACGCCGATCGGCGACAACCTGTGCATGAAAATATTCTTAGCTGGAAGGCTACTTCTTTTCGTTTTGTCAAAAACAATTTAATAAAGGAAAAACGAGATGTGAATCGAGATGATACGATAGAATTGTCACGACAAAATTGCACGATCACGATGACGATTACGTAACGCTTGTATAGTTAATGTGTGAGTTTTCCTCAGGAACTTTTATGCGTTTCCAGAAGCTTATAATTATTTACAAATCTTACCATATGACCCAGTTGGTGATCAACATCATAGCGCCGGATAGTGAGTCGAAGAAACTCAACAACGGCTTGGCCTGTGGTCCCATTTTACCAAGAGTGATACCCATGACTGTCGCGAATACAACAAGCCCCAGGATATTGGAACCCGGGACTATTTTCTCTTCCAGTTCCCATTCCTCCAAGGGAAGGTCTAACAGACAACATTAATTTCAATGTGAAACTCATAAGCGAAAATAAGTTTAGAAGACTAGAAGGCGCGATTGTACCAACGTTGTTTTAAAGTTTTAAGCTTAAATATGTGTCTATCTTTATTTACTTAGAAAGAAAGATAAAGATATATGACGCAAATCTCACTTAGTCAAAATAACTATTGGTACAACCGCGCTTTAAACTGACTCTGCCTAATCTAAAAGCGAAAAATATTTTTCTATTGTTAAAGTGATTACTACCAGAGCTGGCATTGTCCGGTAGCTTGGGCTCGGTTCGATGTTGAGCGATGCAAGCCTGCACGAGATTCGGTGGAAACATATTTCTGACTAAGTCCATCAGTGTATCGACGGTGGAAACATTTTGTGCCGGTTTTTTGGTCTCCGAGGCGGCGCTTCCATGACCAGGTTGGATCGAGACGACGAGAATTATACCTAGGATGAAATCGGCAACTCGCTATCACTGGTTAGATAAGTAGCATTGTTTTTTTGTTTGATCAATCAGAGAGGTAAACGAGCGGCAAAGAGCGTCACGATGAACCTGCGAGATAAGTGCGACGACACAACGATCAGAAATAGAAATTATTTAACTGACGCGATAGTGAAGAAGCGAGAAGAAGAAGAAGAGAGAGAAGATATCAGAAAAAAATCAAACCGTGCGCGATATGCGCGTAAGCAGGAGTTTCGGGTTATAACCGGTCTAATCTTCAGATTATTAACGCGATATAAAACGTCATATTTGCCCGATATTGCAAAATATTGTAAAATCTCACGGACTCTCTCGCGCGATAATGTCGCCCGCTAATTTGTGTTGTCTGACGCGCTGTTCGCGCTCGACTCTCCGCCCGGTCGTGCGCGTTAATTAACCGAGATGAGTCACGAGAATTCAGGGCTATCAAGCGCATTCCCTCCGCTGCCAGATATGTAAATGCGGGGGATACGGTTACGCGGCATCTGCTATTTGTCGCGTTCGCCGTTTCTCAGAAATATATCATTGCCCGAGCGCCGCGACGATGGCGGTTGCAGAGACGTCCAAGATGATCCCCGATGATCGCGATTCGCGTCGCTAATGCCTCGTTTAACCTCGTGATATTTAAAATGCCAAAACGTATTATCCAGTTGTCCACGCGATGCAAAACGCGCGATCGTGCCGCACCGTTTGATCGTCGGAACCTCTTTCATATATACATTTAGATTTAGACGGCAAGCTTCTCCTCATCCCTCATTGCTCTCGTTTTTTTTTTTAGTACACGAAATAATCGCCGCTCGCCGCTTAGCGGAATAACACCGCCGACGCGGAATAACATATAGCGTGACGCGGCGGTGAATTAGGCTTTCACTGACCTAGTATAACCGCGCAGATGGTCGTGGCCATGTAATAACCGATCGCACGCGCCCCGATCCTGCCGCTGAGCGACAGATCGAGCGAGCCGATGGCCGATATCAGACTCGAGATAATCAGCGGCAGAATCAAGCTCTTGAGCATCCGCAGGAACAGGTCGCCGACGTAATTGATGTACATGATCTCGCGGGGCGTCCATCTCTCACGTGAATTTCGCAGAATTATGCCGAGTATCACGCCGCCGATCACGCCGCAAACTGTCAGGATGGTTAGCGCGTTATGGCTCAGGCACGATCGCACCCTCTGCCCCGCGGTCTGCGGCCTCTTGCCGGGCTCCTGGGGATAATACGAGCTCCTCTCCTTGATCTTGCCCTGATTCTCCGCCCCCGACAGCGGCGACCTGAAATCACAAACATCGATAATACTTTTCTTTAACATTTCTTTTCCCTTCGTGAATAAAACTTTTCCCCTCGCTTGAAAGTTCGATTATTACTTTCTCTTTCGAACACTTTATTATTATAGAAATGTTTCTTTGGACTTTTATTGTTGTAACTCACTGATAACACGATCGGTCTTGGAAGAGCTTACGAGAGCTTAATGACTTCATTTTATGCACAAACCGTTTCTATTTTATGTATTCATTCTGAGTTTCAAGATTGAGGTAATATCTCTTTTAAAAATGCGATGTTTGTTATATATAATATACACGTACATATTTAAATTAATTTAAAAGATACTCTGTATCACAATCGGCAATGTGTGAACGTGTCGATTTCAAGACAACGACTGTAACATGCGAGCAGATGTTCGGAGATTAATATCCTTCGCAGCAGACGTGACTTTTTTATGTTTTTCATAAACCTTGAAAACTACAAGCTACAAACTACAATAATATAAAATATGTCTATCTTTATATATGTAGACAGGCAGCAAATAAATGTGTTAATATATCAGAGCTTTTTTTTGACACTGATTCATTATATCCATATTTCTTGTAAATTATATCAATAAAATTTCTTAATAGTCTTTTCGAAATTTATACTGACTTTTGAGATATGCATAATAAATTTTAATTAATATTTAGTAATTTTAATATCTTAATTAATATCTTAATTAAATAATATTTTATTAATTAAATTAAATCTCACTTAATAATTAAAATTAATTAATGAAGTCAGCAAAAACATATTCTAGTTTCTAAATTGTATATTTATTCATAATCACGAAATATAAACGAAACTTAAATCGAGGAGTTTTTTTTATTGCCGTTATTTTTGTTTTTTTATTGTGATATTTCTAGCAATGTTGCAAAAGTCAAAGCAAAATTCAATTTAATTAAAAAATAGGCTTTAAAATATGAATTCAGTTTTTATTAATTTTATATTTATTTGTTATTATTCTTATCGTGAAATTATTGCTAGTCAATTGATAAAATAATTTCTTGTTCTCAGGTCTCGCTCGAAATTATAAATAGATTTTACTTACTCTATTTTGTCAGCGTTCATAATACTCGCACAGGATTATATAAACGATAAAGCAATTAAAATATGAAAATTTGTTTTGAAAAATTGATATTTTACAACATCGCGGAGTAAATTATACTTGAAATATTTTCGTTTCCGCACTTCTTTTAAAACACTTCCCAAACAATTGCCTAACTTATTCTAATATTTAACGCCTCTTTTAACGCCTCTTTATCGTATGTGAAGTCGCGATTACCGCTGGATTTGCACGTTTCTCGACTGTTGGCAGCGATACTTCACGCGTTGCCACAAACAATTCTTTTTCCAACCCGAGATTTATCGAAACTGGCGAAGATTACTGGCCTCTTCTGCAGTTAAACGAGAACTGTTTTAAACTATTTCAAGCTGACAAGGTTTATCCTCCAATTCTCTGAAGCGCACATAACGCAATCTCAGCAGCATTCACTCTCAGAGGAAATATAATCAGATGCAACAATGAATAATAACAGAGTAAAGAAATATGTGTCCGTCATATAACAAGAAGCTGCGAGACATTACATAGTTTGAATAGCAGAAAAATCGTCGGAAGGCCAATCGTCGCTGCCAAAGCGAATCGCCTTTATCGTGCGATGCAGCACGTGACAATGCACGGAAATATCGACAGCACCTACGCGCGTTGTATACTTGTTATGCTGGTAAGAGATGAAGAAATTATACTACGGTGAATTGTCGTCACACAAACTCTTTTAATATTGCGAGATAACGATCTGTCGACCTCTCATTGGCGAATATGCCGCCATATTGTACCAATTAGGGATGTATTTTTATTGTATTATGTTATTACGCGATTTGCTGATATGCGAGCTGTTAGGGAATTAACCAGATCAAGAGGATGATAGACTTTTGCGTGCTTATTGCTTTAATCCGAGTATAGCGCAGGTGCAGGTTTAGCAAGTCATTAAAATTCACAAATGGTAAATTTAATTTGTTGACATTTAATACGGGGTACGGTGTTTTTTTTTTTTTTTTTTTTATTGTTATTCATATTTCTTTCAATTAAAAGCTGACATTTTAAATTTCTAGTTTCTATTAGATTTTTGTTATATTTTGGATTTTTATTATATTTTTATTTTGGAGAATGAAACGTAGTCCATTGAGAAGACGGAAGATTATTAATAGACGAGTGCGCCTCGCTGCATTTATCATGCGTTTCCATGCGGCACAAATAAATACGTTTCACGTACAGAGAGTCGCGCGATTTTTGTTACAACCTGTGTTTCCACGTGGTTTACGATCCGAGCGGTTTGAAACGTCGAATTCGTCCCACGCGATTATACGCGTGACGGCATGAAGAAACGTAAAAGGCAAAGAAGCCGAACCATGACACTTGCGTGGGCGGAAAGGAGAGTTATTAGAACGAATATACGATTCGCAGTCTTCGATCGTCTGCTCCGGCAAAGAGTGTCGTTGTAAAATATCGTCGACCCTGCGATGGCAAGTCTTTCGTTCGCACGTGTCACTCGAAAAACCGGTCAGGGATACATGCCACACCGGTGTCAATTTTTTTTACTCATCGTAGTTACATCATCGATCAGGGACATGTGTTGTACCTAACGAAAAGACACTGTCGCGTCCTAATGTCAATGTTCGTCGTGATGTACGCATGTACGCATCGATGTACGCAACATTCCCGATTTCGCTTATTTGGTCAATGGGGAAACCAGATATCGGATTACCATGTAACTTAACAAGAGGAATCCGTGGCATGGACCGCAATGTTGAATACTCGACGTTGGTCCCTGCCAAATTCTTTCGAGTGGCTCGACGCGCGTCGGTGATCTCTTCCGGGTGCACGTGGTCGCAAATGTTATAGATACGCACGGCTGTAAACCGATGACACAATTCGTGCTCATCGAATACCGCACTTATGTTTCTAAGACTGACATTTGGAAACATCCGAGTGATTCCGTGTATCATTTTATCTTTAATATTCATCGAATTAAACAAGGCTAAAATGATACACGGCACAAACTTTGCAGTTATATTACAGCAATATTGCTACAATATTGTAGACATATTGTTGCAATATAGTTGCAAAGACTTTGTGCTCAGATGTTATTTTTGAACGTAGCCTAACGGAGGCTCGAGAGACGCAAACTTTGCAGCTGTATTGCAGCAACATTGCTACATATTGTAAAAATATTGCTGCAATATTCGAAATATAGTTGCAAAGTTTATGCTGCACTTGACTGATATTTCCGAGCGTAGCTCTGGTCCCCTGACAGAAGACCAGGAGGAATGACGCGGTGACAAATTCTCAGGCTTAATGTAGTCTCGGTAACGACGGGGAACATGACAGCCGCACACGCGATGTGAGCGTTATAGATCGTTTGTCATAGATTTCGCGGATGTTTCCATTATTTCCGTTTCTCGTACCGAAGTTCCGGCGCGCTGATATGGTAACGCCACGGAGGAGGATGGCGCCCTATTTATGCTTGCCTTGCTGACATACTGGCCGATATTTTTATCTTATCGTTAACAATATTTCAAACAGGGATACAAAAAAGGGATACGCTTGAACAGGATCCGACAACTGAGATTTTTCCATCAACGTTTCGCAACATCTTCAAGTTGAGCTTCGAGATGAATCTTGAGTCTAACGAATGATAGACGGATAAGTCGAGGTAAACGAACGACATAGATGACTTTAATTTCAATTAATCTGTCAATATGAAACTCGAGATGTAGAACGTCATTCGCAGATGCTGGACGACAGACTCGGCCGAGCTCACGCGATCGTTGAAAAATAATTCCGGATCCGCGGGCAGATGGGAAAACATCGTCCCTGAGAGTTAATGTTGGACTACGATGATAGAACCCGCGTGTTTCCGGTCGAGTCTGTACAGTTTTGCATTGTACGTATTTTTTTCCGCGGTTTCATATTACAGTTAATCGACGATGTTCACGAATTGCGCTGAATACCGAGTTAAAGGGTATCATCTTGCCGCGTCTCGAATCGCGGTCAATTGGAACCTTTTCGGTTTAACGAGATGACGTCGGAAATAAAAATTTCATGGCTGTTGAGCCACCAAACGGAACCATGCGTATTTCGCGGAATGCGTGAAACCGACTATCAGCTTCCTGAAGCGAGTGTATTTACGGAGACAACGCTATTAAAAATAGACGCAACTGGTTAAAATGTTAATGGATTACAGCGTGAAGAATAAGCATGGTTAGAAATAGGAAATAATAAGTAGCCGCAATTTGTTAGAAGAGATCAGCGTGGAAGAGTGAATTAAACGCGGCATTAAAAGCGACAGAGAATAACGTAGATATTGTTCCCCTCGCGCCGTCTCTTTTTCTTTCCCTCTCTCTCTCTCTCTCTCTTTTCTCTCTCTCTCTC